ACTTATTTCACTTAGCATCACACTCTCCAGTTCCATCCACGTTGCTACAAAAGGCCATATTTCATTTTTTCTCATTGCCACGTAGTATTCCATAGTGTATATAAACCACAATTTCTTTATCCATTCATCAGTTGATGGACATTTAGGCTCTTTCCATAATTTGGCTATTGTTGAGAGTGCTGCTATGAACATTGGGGTACAAGTGCCCCTATGCATCAGTACTCCTGTGTCCCTTGGATAAATTCCTAGCAGTGCTATTGCTGGGTCATAGGATAGGTCTATTTTTAATTTTCTGAGGAACCTCCACACTGCTTTCCAGAGCGGCTGCACCAATTTGCATTCCCACCAACAGTGCAAGAGGGTTCCCGTTTCTCCACATCCTCTCCAGCATCTATAGTCTCCTGATTTGTTCATTTTGGCCACTCTGACTGACGTGAGGTGATATCTGAGTGTGGGTTTGATTTGTATTTCCCTGATAAGGAGCGACGCTGAACATCTTTTCATGTACCTGTTGGCCATCCGGATGTCTTCTTTAGAGAAGTGTCTATTCATGTTTTCTGCCCATTTCTTCACTGGGTTATTTGCTTTTCGGGTGTGGAGTTTGGTGAGCTCTTTATAGATTTTGGATACTAGCCCTTTGTCCGATATGTCATTTGCAAATATCTTTTCCCATTCTGTTGGTTGCCTTTTAGTTTTGTTGGTTGTTTCCTTTGCTGTGCAGAAGCTTTTTATCTTCATAAGGTCCCAGTAATTCACTTTTGCTTTTAATTCCCTTGCCTTTGGGGATGTGTCGAGTAAGAGATTGCTACGGCTGAGGTCAGAGAGGTCTTTTCCTGCTTTCTCCTCTAAGGTTTTGATGGTTTCCTTTCTCACATTCAGGTCCTTTATCCATTTTGAGTTTATTTTTGTGAATGGTGTGAGAAAGTGGTCTAGTTTCAACCTTCTGCATGTTGCTGTCCAGTTCTCCCAGCACCATTTGTTAAAGAGACTGTCTTTTTTCCATTGGATGTTCTTTCCTGCTTTGTCAAAGATGAGTTGGCCATACGTTTGTGGGTCTAGTTCTGGGGTTTCTATTCTATTCCATTGGTCTATGTGTCTGTTTTTGTGCCATATATATTTAGAATATAAATGTCATTTATATTTGTTATTTAAATGTTACTTAAGAATAATGTTATAAATATAAACATAATAAATGTTATTTAAAAATGGCAGTTGATACAATTATGTCGACCCTAAATGTACAAATTTCTTCTCCATATTTTTCAATAAATATTGCTTCTACAGAGACAGAAAGACTTTGTTTAGGCCTTTGCAATGGACAATAATGCTTTGCCATTGTAATGTCAAGTTTACCTTATCAATGATTTTTCTAATTATACTACAAAATAAAGTACCTCAAAATTTCGTATCTTAAAACAACAACAGTTTTGCTATGCTCACAGATACAGTGGGTCAAGAATTTGGAAAGGGCCTAGAGGAGATGTCTCCTTTCTCTTCTAAGATCTGGAGCCTCTGCTAGGAAGAACTGAAGAGTGACTCATGACTGGGAGTTGGAATCCTCTGGAGGCCCCCTTTCCCTTGATCATCTCTGTTGCTTAGCCTGACCTATGCAAGGACTAGGACTACTGACTGGAGGTCTTTGCTCCCTTACAAAATACTGCCTCAGGGTAATCAGACTTGTCACTTGTCAGTGGAATTATAAACAAAGGGGATGATGGTACATTGGCTTTCATGGAGCATCTTGGAAGATGTATACCCTATGGTTAATTCCAGCATACTCCACTGGCCAAAGCAGTCACGAGCCTGCCCAGAAGCAAGGGGAGGAGAATTAGACTCCATCTCCTAATGGGGAAGTGGCAAAGCCACACCGTAGAAGAGCATGTGGGATAACAGGTGTTGTTGCATCCGTTTTTGGAAAATAAAATCTGCCACGGTGATGTTGGGAAAATGGATTTAGAATCTAAGTGTTGATTAAAGGATGTCTAGGAGTCACAATCAGACATTTAAACTGCTGGGGTACTTTGAGGTTTGATGTCATTTTAATACTCTTTATCTGGCATCAATCCCAAAAGGATAAGTTGACTTTCTCAATTTTGCTTTCTATTTTTCACCCATCAGTACATAATTTGAGTATGGAATACTTGTCTGGAAGAATCTGGTGACTACCTATATTCTGAATACTAAAATATCTAAGTAGTCCAAATTCATACATAGTTTGTGTTTTCTTCCAGCTTATCATAAGTCCCTGGTGCTATGGTTCCTCTGCAAAACAGTTAAAGATCCCTTGAAAAATCTTGTTTTGCTTTCACAGAAATGTCATGAATATAAAGTCCTTTTGATGATAAAAGGAATTTTGTGATGCTCAGGTATTTCCTTTAGTTTTATAGATGGAAGATGGTGTTGATAATGGCACGATAATTTATATCAGACTCACTGAGCAGATCATTGCAACTGAGTTTTTCACTGAAAAATTCAATTACATTTCTCTACATTTTAACACCACTGCCAAAGGATGCACTGAAATCTTTCCTAACTCCCTTCTAGACACAAAAAAAAAAAAAAAAAAAAATGTTCTGCCACAAAGAGTCTCTTAAGATTCTTGAAGGACATTTCTCCTTGTCAGTATGTATTCTGGGGGAGAACTATGCTGTTTCAAGATACAGGCTCATCAGTTATTCTCTCGGTAAATGTAAAAGCTTTGACTGGCTGATTGCAAAGACAACACCTGAGAGCGATTACTCTTAATGTATCAAACCTTTCCAGAAGAAAATATATCCACCATTTTTAAAATGTCATGTGTATTTGTTCCTCAAGTCTAGGGCTTAAGTCTTACCCATTGATGCCCAGTTCAGTACATTTATGTAGTGTTTGTTCAACAACCGCCTATAGGCAAGAATTTTATGATTGCACATTACTTCCATGTACACATAGTTCATACTACAATACTGACTTTTTAAATATTTGGCTAGGATCTTCAATTTTTAACTTCTGATGGCTGACATTCCATGAGATAATCATCATATTCATATTTTAAGGTATTACACTTCATGCATACATACCTTGTCTCTATGCTACAAAGTCAAATCCATGAAGACAGGAACTATGTCTATACTATATATTTCCTGCACCTAACATAGTGCCTCATACAGAGTAGCATTCAATAAACATTTGTAAAATGATACAATGATTGATTGAATAAATGAAAGAATGATAGGATAGGTTTGGATCTTAGGTCTCCTTGTCTTGTTCATTCATTATCTCATGAATCAATCTCATCCTAAAAATAAAGATGGTAATATCCACATTGTTACAAAATGGGACCTCAGCTTCTTTAGAAAATAATTGGCTCAAATCCTACATTGCCATCACCAGAAAGGATTTAATTTCTACCAGCAAACTATGTAAATTGAGCTAGATTTCCAGGAATGGTTCTTGATTGGTCTGATCAATCAGAAGTGTTGCACTGATGTGTTAAAAGAACAGGAAGTGACCAGAATGTAGTCATCTAACTGCAAAATTCCATTTTTATACAAGTTCTCTATGATTGCAAGGGCTCACCCATTTCACAGGCTGCATTATAAACATTAACACATTCACCATAAAAATAAAACCCTGGGATTGTGGTTAGTCAGTAATTAAATTCTAGGCACATCCAGAATTTTGCTGGCATGTACATTTTAATAATGCGGTTGTCTTAAAGGCTCTTGAAAGGTAGTAGAAGACTTCATTGCTTAACCGAAGTCTGCCAATTATCCCTTAACTTTGCAGTTTTACTAGGATCAATCATCCATCATATTGTGGTATTTTAACCGGTTACAAATTAAACAGAAAAAGTAATAAGAAAAGAAAACTAATTTTCCTAGACTACCCTAATGCTGCCAAGCATAAAAATGCACTTAACTGAGAAAACTGCTGAGAGATTAATACAGAATTTGTGTGCTACTAAAGAAATCATTACAGCAGCTAAGTTCTGGGAATATGGCCTCTGCAAAAGTGAAGGGAAAGATCTTTTTTCAAAAATAGTGGTGCAGTAAGATTAGATATTTATTCTCTACTAATGCAAAAAAGGATTTTATTAGTGTAACTTCATTTAAAGTCACAGATACAAATCTCAGTGAAGAAAAGATTTCAATGGCTACGCAATTTAAATTATATTATTAGCTCAAAGGAAAAGGATGATATTTAACTTAAAACAAAGAAATCTACAAAAGGGATCATAAGCATCAGCTAAAATAAAAAGAAAATAAGCTATCTAGCTTATTTAGAAAAAAATCTAGTTAAGTTAGAAAATCAAGGATAAAGAACATTTTTATATCACGTGTAATTCTTTATCACTGTCCCTGTTGTCATCATTGTTGTCATTATCAACATCGTCGTCACCACCAACACCCCCCCCCACCACAGCTATTCTTTACCAAATGGCTACTCTTATCTTACATACAAGTATCTTATATACATTTTCTAATTTATTCCTCAAAACAACTCTGAGTTAAGTTTTATTATTGCCTATGGTCGACTCTTGAAGAAAGTGAGGCCACAACAGGTTAACTAGCACAAATTATTTGCCTAAGCCTTGTAAGTGGTAGGTTCAAACTGCCAACAGTCTGATTTCACATTCCCTCATAATGATCATCTGTCTAATATTTCTGACAATATGTATGATGGACACAGGAGCTACCGACAGAGCAAAGCTGCCAGGCAGCTCATGGGCTACATGAAGCTTAACAAGGTATTATGTGACTCGTTTCAGGTAAATGAAACTTCCTGGTTCTCAAATGCCTCACTGGTGGCAGGACTAACCTAGAGATTTGCAACTGGTTGGCACCAACTGTTCAGGGGAAAAACCTGGACATTTATGGGGAGGTGAGATCACAATGATTGCGGACCACTCTTCTGGGCATTTGGTGGGCAAGAGTCAGTCACCGGGGTTGTAATGAGTGGGCAATTCCACTAACAGGAAAACTGTCTTATGTTCTGCTTGATCTTGCAAATGCTCCAACAGACATTCAGATGTTAGATAAACCCTTTTTATAACTTTGAATCTGTACATTAACTCTTTTTTCACACGTAAACACCAAGTATTTTGCTATTTTAATACACAATGAATTTTCCAGGAATGCAGCTACCATGTATGTATGTGTGGGTGACTGGGTATGTGTGAGTGAATCTTGCTTCGTTTTGAACTTTATCAATAATGGTACACCATCTAGGAAAATTATACTATTGATATGAAGCCAATTATGGTATTTGATCTGACAGCATGTGTGGCTGTTCCATTTATGATGATTCTATGGAACAGGTGCAAGCATCTGACTACTTCTATATGTCTTCCAGAGAAGTCATGCTCAAGCGTTTATATATTGATACTGAGGCATATGTAATTTTTATACATCATAAACACAATTTGTATATAAATTATATAAACTTTAAGTACACATATATAACTTTATATACATACATTTAATTTTATATACATATGTAATTAATTATTCTTTTTATTTTTCCTTTACATTTCAGTCAGGGTGTGATATTGATTTTTTTTTAAATATATTTGAGTTGATTATATGGTTGGTGAAATTTATTTTAAGTCACAAAATTGTTGTTACTAAATTTTTGCCAAAAAAGGGTACAGTGGTTGTGACAGCCTACAGAAATTCTGGACTGAGTGGTATCTAGGGTCCCACCTAGATAAATTCTACTTAAAATTCTACTTCATCCTATTAAATAAAGCCATAAGCAGTGATTTCCTCTACAAACGTGACTACAGTCAAAATCAAAAGTAAACTGCACACTCCCTCTTACTTAGCATTACTGCTCAAAGGACACACAATTTATATTTCTGGAAATTCTCTGATTTGCAAATTTATATAAGGGGAACTGCCTTTCGTAGTCTAGGCGGCAGAAAATGGCATTCCACATCCACTCCTGCATATCCAGCCTTTCCTCTTAACCCACACAAAATCATACCTGGCAGAGTCAGTCAGATTAGAAAATGAAATGAGACTATGCTCATAAAATGATTTTAAATCAAAAAAATATGTGAAAGAGTGAGTGAACGGAATAGCAACAGAAACAATGAATGGCAAATGAGAGAAATGATGTGGAATTAAAGTAATTTGATTACTCTGCACTGTGGGCCAACATTATGGAAATACTCAGAGGATTACAATGAAGTATCACATTGTAAATGAAGAAGAGTTTAAAGTTTCCTCAGTGCCTTGCCATCTGGAAAGTTCCCTTAGTCAAACAATCATTAAACAAGACTTCAGAACTATTTTCAGAGGGATATGAATGGCCTTTCTGAGGTCCCTTCTCACCTTCAGGTTCAGCTGACTAAACATTTACTGAGCACCCGCTGAACAGATGGGCGGAGCACTGCGCTGGGTGTGAGGGAGGGCGATGGAAATGAGGAGATTCCTACATTCCACATTCCTGCCGGACACACACATATAAATAAATCTGAAGTGAGGAAGACAAAAAACAGTTACGAGAAGCACAAAGTGCTAAAGGAGCCCACGAGAGGAAAAAATTCATTTCAGCTGGAGGAATCTGAGAAGGCTTCTTGGATGGGGTAGGATTTGAACTGAGCTTTAGGGAGAAGAAAAGCTTCGATAAGTAGAAATGAGCAGGAGTGGGGAGGGAGCCCAGACACAGGACACAGCTTGAACCAAGGCCTGGGAGAGGAGAAGGCATAGGGCACAATGGAGTGATGGTATTACGGTAGAAAAGGGACACTGGAGAGGGCCAAAATAAAGCTATCTTTGAAATCCAGGTTGAGGATTCTGTATATTCAACATTCATTATACAGAGCACCTTCTATGTATCTGACTCTGTTTTAGAGAGCAGAGATACACCAGAAAACAAGGCAGATGAAAACCTCATGGAGATTACATAGTTAGAGAAAAATAAGAAAGAATATATAGTAAGTCAGAGGCTGAGAAGTATCGTGGAGACAAAGGAAGAAGGGAAGAGGACTTGGGAACTTCCAGTTCAGAAGGTCCAGGGCTCACTGAGAAGGTGGTGCTCCAACAGCGGCTTGTAGGAGGTGAGAATATATGGAATGGGGACTCAAGAACAGATCATGACCACCACACTCTAATTAGAATGGCCAAAATCTGGTAGCGCCTGAGTGGCGCAGTCGGTTAAGCGTCCGACTTCAGCCAGGTCACGATCTCGCGGCCCGTGGGTTCGAGCCCCGCATCAGGCTCTGGGCTGATGGCTCAGAGCCTGGAGCCTGTTTCCGATTCTGTGTCTCCCTCTCTCTCTGCCCCTCCCCCGTTCATGCTCTGTCTCTCTCTGTCCCAAAAATAAATAAACGTTGGAAAAAAAAAATTAAAAAAAAAAAAAAAAAAAAAAAAGAATGGCCAAAATCTGGAACACCGGCAACACCAAACGCTGACAAGGATGTGGAGCAATGGGAACTGTTGTTGTTGGGAATGCAAAATGGTACAGCCACTTTGGAATACGGTTTGGCAGTTTCTCACAAAACTATACATACTGTTAACCATATGATCCAACAATCACACTCCTTGGTATTTACCCATAGGAATAAAAACTTATGTCCACACAAAAACCCATTCACAGATGTTTATAGCAGCTCTATTCATAGTTGCCAAAATTTGAAAGCAACTAAGGCATCCTTTATTCAGTAGCTGCATGCATAAATAAATTGTCACGCATCAGATAATGGAACATTATTCAGCACCGTAAAGAAACGAGCTACTAAGCCATGAGAAGACATAAAGTTAACTTCAATGTGTATTACTAAGTGAAAGAAGCCAACTGGAAAAGGCTACCGACTGTAGGATTCCAACTACATGACATGATGGAAAAGGCAGAACTATGGAGATAGTAAAGAGATCTGTGGTTGCTGGTGGGGGTGGAGGAAGAGAGAGGAATAGGCAGAGTACAGAGGATTTTTAGAGCGGTGAAAATATTCTGTAGGATATTATAATGATCGGTATATGTCATTAGACATTTGTCCAAGCCCATAGTATGTGCCAAGCGTAGTTACTCTAAGGCAAACTATGGACTTTAGGTGATTATGATACTAAATGTAGGTTCATTGTTTTGGTAAGAATGTACCATTCTGGTGAATGATGTTGATAATGGGCAAGGCTCTGCATGGGTGGGAGCAAGAAGTATATGGGAAGTCTCTGTA